CAATATAATTATAAACAGAACTATTAAAGTAAAACAGGCTTTTAGAATTGGTGTGTGTGGATTGTACTAACAAGCTTAAAGTGGTCTGTTTAATTAAAGAGATACTAAATAGTAGAGTATTGGTATACATGGCTCTGAAAAAAGTGTACTAAAGTGTGTAAAATTTTAAGAATAGATATAAATTTAAATATACTGTAGCGGATTCAAGAAATCCTATTTTGGATCCTTTTATAAAATACAGAATAACATCTAATTTTAGTGATGTTTAAATTATAGCAGATTAGGTTTAGGTATATGGTTAATAGACACTCGTGCCCACTGCTGAGCAAGCAAATGCTCTAAGAAATTCAAGGTATTTAGTAGTTTTAATGTTATTAATAACTGGGAACAAGTTAATATGTGTCTTAGTCATCTAATGCTGCTATAACAGAAATACCATACGTGGATGGCTTTGAACAAAGAGAAATTTATTTTCTCATGGTCCAGTAGGCTAGAAGTACAAATTCAGGGTGTCAGCTCCAGGGAAGACTTTCTCCCTCTGTCGGCTCTGGCAGGAGGTCCTTGTCATCAATCTTCCCTTGGTCTGGGAGCATCTCAGCACAGGAACCTCAAGTCCAAATGGTGCACTGTGCTCCCAGCACTGCTTTCTTGGTGGTATAAGGTCCCCAACTCTCTGGTTGCTTCCCTTTTCTTTTATCTCTTGTAAGATAAAAGGTGGTGCAGGCCACACCCCAGGGAAACTCCCTTTACATTGGATCAGGGATGTGACCTTAGTAAGGGTGTTACTAATCCTTAATCTACCCTAATCCTCTTTAACATAAAATCACAATCACAAAATGGAGGACAACCACACAATACTGGGAATCATGGCCCAGCCAAATTGATACACACATTTTTAGGGGGACATAATTCAGTCCTTGACAATATGTTTGTTGAAATTATAGCTGCAACTGTGCCAGTATGATTTTTAAAATACTCCCTCCTCCCCGCCAAAAATCCTCTTTTTAATCTTGGATATCATCTGCAATTTTGGTGAGATTTATTCATTGTTATTTACCTTCTGCCATGTGGGCTCACCAGATGGGCATAGATGCAGTACTGAATAAATAGTCTTTTCTATTCAAAACAACTTACATTGAGTGGTGGGAACTACATATTGGTAGAGAATAGGAAAAAAAAGTCAAGGAAGTTGTCCCTGTAAGATGTTTGAACAGAAAGATCTGCCCTTAGCTGAGTGGATTCCAAGACTGGAAGGGAAAAAGGTTAGTATGCTAGTACAGAGTTGTCATAGAACCTCATGCAACATCCCATGAAGCCCATCAGTACCCTCAATGGATATTTCTTTCTGGGAAAATATATATTTGAGAACAGAATTAATAGTCTAGGATTTGTTCTACTTATTTACTGAAGAGTCTGAGGTTTTTCCAACTGGCCTGAAATCTGAATGTCACTTCTTTCTACTATCAATCCAGAGAGACTAACGGTGTTCTGTTGACTCCAGGTAGGTATTTATACATGACTGGGGCGGGTGGCAGGGCTTGGGGGGAGCGATAATAGATGCACACATAGCCAAGTCTATTTGGAAGCTAGGAAATTTCCAGTGTAACTTGGATAGGCATCTATTGTATTTTTATGCAGATAAAGCATACCTTCTATATTTGTTTGCCAACCACGCGCCCCCCCCCCCCGCTTTTCATAAGCACGCTATGCTAATTTTTTTACAGCGACATGTTAAAAAAAATTGGCATAGTAGCACTTACCAAAATATCTCACAAGGGAACGGTGCAAACAAATGTAGTAGGTGCTCGATATTTGTGTAAAAATACAGTAATTGTGGTGCCATAGCACTGCTGTTGTTGAGGACCTCACCATTCATGTAAATGTCTGTCTTGGTCATTGTTGACCCTTTCCTCTCATCCTTCCACAACCTAGCAGCTGTGCAATCCTGCCCAGTCTTCCTCCTCGATCTACTCCCTACGTGATTTTTTCTTAAAGTGAAATTTTAATCGTAGTTAGAAATATTTTAGTCTTTTAATCCAACTTCCATTCTGACTCATTTCATTTAATGCTTTATTCATTTTGCTCAGCAAGGATCTATTATGTGCCTGCTCTGTATCAAGCACTGGGCTAGGTGCTGGCGATTCAGGGATGACAAAAGCAGACCACTGAGTTCGTATCTACTGAAGGATACACATTAATCAGAGAATCCCATAGCCACATGTGAAAATGCAGTTCTGACAAGTTCTATGAGGGAAAGGTGAAGGGAATGCCTGTACTGCGGGAATTTACCCTGGTGAGGAAGGTCAGGGAAGACTTGTCTGAAGAAGTAATACATGAGCTGAGACCTAAGGCCTTCTAGCCATGGGGAACATCATGTACAAATCCTCCAGTGGCACACTGGAAGACCTGAGAAGGTCATTCTGTTGAGAGAGCAGAAAGCGAGGGCCATGGGATATGAACTGAGGCCAAAACATGCGGGTTTCTGCAGGCCATGTTAAGGGCTTTCCTCTTGATCCTGAGAGCACAGGGAAGCCGTTGAAGAGTGTTAGGTGAAGGGAAGCAAATGACTCAGTCAGATTTATGTTTTGGTAATACCCCTCTGGCTGCATTTTGGAGAAGGAACGGGATGAGGAGCCAGAGTGAACGTAGTAAATCACTTGAGAGCTTTGTGGTCATCCAGGAGAGGGGTGTTGGTCACTTGGATTTCAGTGATGATGGAGGAGATGGAGAGAGAAGACATGGAGGAGATGGAAAGGAATGTGTCAAGAATGACACCTAGGTTCTGACTTTTAAAACTGGATAGATTATAGTGCCATTCATTAGACCAGGTTCTCAGCTTGACAGTGTTGAGTTCAAGGTATCTTTGAGACATCCAAGAGGAGCTGGTCAAGAAGGCTACTGGATACAAGGACGGAGCTCAGAAGAGAGAACTAGGCTAGAGATATACAGTAGGGAGTCATCTGATGTCTGAATCTTCTTTACGATATCCAGACCTCTGCTTGAACACCAAGAATGACAGAAAATTCACCACCTCAACAACCGGGCATGCTTTAATCAGAGAAGTTCTTTATGCTGGACTAAAACCTTCCTGCATGTAAGCCCTGCTCATTGGTTCTGTTTCTGCCCTTTGGACAATTGGACTCTCTCTTCTACCTAATCGAGCTTCAGAAATTTGAAGAAAACTGGCCTGGTATAGCTCCTCACCATTTCACCATCCACCTCAGGTCTTGTTTCTAGCAAAAATTCTTTCAGTTCAATTCAGTAATCTTGCTTCTCCCATCAGTTCAGCTTCACCTATCACAAATGGAAAAACATCCACACAGCCACGCATATATATGCACATTAATTGCGTTGTATATTATTGCAGATTTGTGTGCCTTTTCTCATGCTGTTGCCTAAGGAGTGGTTTTTAATTCCATCATGTGTAAAATCACAGCTCTTCAGCAGAGGTTAATGGGACCAACTAGTTATAGGAATTTTTTCATGGGAGTGGGTCAGACAGGAAGTAGCTAGTAGCTCATATATGTCCATGACTGTGGACAAATGTGGACTTTATCAGGGCCAACATCATAATATTTAAGTGGGTCCTGTCTTGCAAGTGGGGCACAGCAAAAAGCTTCGTAGATAGTAGGCAGTACTTTGAGTGGTTAAGGGCCGTCACCACCACTGCTCATTAGTCGGGGGAGGCTAACTGCAGACACAGCCGCACGGTTCAAATCCAATCAGGAGTTCCTTGGGCAGCCTTTCCTGTGGTTGTCCGGAGACCCAGACTCACCTGCTGGCTCCCCTGGGGACCTTACCGGCCTCTACAGGATCTTCCACATCTTGTTGGGAGATGATAGAAGAGCTATGGGTTGGGGGATTATGCAGGAAGTTTTGGAGCCAAGAAGTGGATTACACTACTCACATCCACATCTCATTTTCCCGTAGCCAGAGCTGTCACACGGCCCAGAACTGCAGGGGAATCTAGAAAGTGTAATTTAGTCGTGTGCTCAGAAGGAAAAGGTGGCAGGGTTTGAGTGAGCAAAGTTGCCCTATCCTGGGGGCGATATCATTATGTTCTTTTTCTCCCCAATACCTTCAGCAATTCCCTGTTGCCCGGCAAATTTAGAACATGCTCATTAGCATGTTGTGACTCTTTTCAGTATGACCCTAGCCTATCCTTCCAGCTAATCTGGTCACTTCATTACTCCCCAGGCATACCTTTCCCTCTTGCACACCTTTACTCAGGCACTTTCTTCTACCTAGGGCACCTTGCATTTCTCCTTAAAATCTTATTATTCCAGGTCCATTCAAAAGGCCACTTATTCTTCATGCCCACTGGTCTGCCTTATGTGACAGCTGCTTGTTTATTTGTCTGACCACCTCCCTGCAGACTCCTGAGGGAAGCCATGTGTCTTAGCCATTTTGTGTCACTGACAACCTCTAGGAAATGTCTGAGAGAGTAAGTGTTCAACCAAATGTTTGTTGAATTGATTTGAATAGTTTTGTTGAAATCATTTCCTTAAAGAGAAAATAAGATGTATTTTTTTAATTCACTCTTTTTTTTTGAGGACAAACATTTGTGGCAGTCGTTCTGAAATGACAGCATAAGAATCGTTTGGGAGAACCTGTTGAAAGTGTGGATTTCTGTCCTCCCCCCCCAGCCCTGAGATTGCACTTCTATAATCTGATCAATTTGCTATGGATCCCAAAAAACCCGTTGCCATCCACTCGATTCCGACTCATAGCGACCCTATAGGACAGAGTAGAACTGCCCCTTAGGGTTTCCAAGGAGCCCTTGGTGGATTCGAACTGCCAACCTTTTGGTTAGCAGCTGTAGCTCTTAACCACCGTGCCACCAGGGTTTCCAATGGGTCCCCAGCACCTACATTTGTAATAAGTGTCCAGGGGTGATTTGGATCATACGACCCCTGAACTGTACTTTCAGAGATCTTGCCACATGGCATTTGTCATTATGCCCATTGATGGACCGTTTTTACTTTTCCTTCAACAAACAGACCAGTTCATTCACCGAGGAGGCAGTGTGCGGAACAATAAAAGTCAAGATGTTTGTCATATCGCCTTTGGATCCAAAGTTCTTGGACCACCTCCATTGTCTGGCAGAAGGAATAACATGAGGCTATCCAGTGAGGTAGGAGCAAGGTTTGAAGGCCTTACCTGAACAGGAGTGGCATAGTAAGGGCAGGTTCTTTTGTTTTTTGTTTTTTCCAATGTAGGGGGAAAAAGAGAGAGAGAGAATCTACATGCCAAAAGCAGAAGGCCTGAATAAATTTGGAACAGAAATTCTGGATTTCAAAGAACCTTGAAACTGTTTCCTTTTTTGTCATGTCAACATAGTTAACATTTTAGAGTATTCTTTTCATTAAATATGTTCACAAAACTCATAGGCAATTGGATGTGAGCGCACTTTGCTGTCTCCTTCAAGGAGTTTGATTATCACCAGACACCTTACAGTGAGCAGATTCCCAACTGTTATGTGTTTTATTTTTAATTTCCTCTGAATGTCTGACATACAGCAGAGATTTTTAATTTAAGTTCTACCTGCTAATGGTGGAGTATAGCGAGCGAGCACATCTAATTTCTGTGTCTGGGAGACTTGGTTGCCTTCTGTCTCCTCTCACATTATTTTTCTCTTTCCATTTCTTGCTAATTTTCTACCATCATTTCCCTTTCCATCACTCTTTAACCTTCTCATTTTCTCTAGTTTTTCCCCCCGCCCTCACTCTTTATTTGTCCAAAGATTATTTTTCCTGTGTAGATTGTACAGAAAATAAAGGCAATTTCTGTATTTTAAAATGTACAAATTAATTCTTCCTCCTTATAGACAGTAAGATCCATTGGGTCAAAAAATCACCGATCCTGCCTGCAGTCCACTGTAGAGAAGTGTGTTAGCAGTACAGATGTGTCAGCCTTACTGGTATCTGAGTCTGAGGAGCAAGGAGATAAAGAAAACATTCGCCAAATAAAGCAGCCTGTACCTGTTCATGGTAAGAAAGAATGATGCATAAAGATTTATAGCTAGTGAAAATAGTGAGAGATATTCTTGTTAAGATAAATCAGATGTTAGACTCATGAATAGATCTTAAATCCGAAGAGTAACCACTCCATCTATTACCTTCTGTGACCTCTCACTCTGTTTGCTCAGTTATTTCAAATTACTGAAGTGCCCTGCGTTTTCACTTGTTGATGACTGGTGAGAAAATAGGATAACATTCCGTGGTCGCTATATTTTGTAAACTCCATGTTCATTTAAGTTTTCTTAACTTAATTTTATTTTTTAATTAATCCCTCCCATTTGTAAAGTCCTCTTTGATTATTTTCTCATTTGATATGCAGCAAAACAACCCTGTGAGTTAGGAAAGGACTTTTGTCCATTTTACAGATTGAAAGTTCAAGGCTAACAAAGTAATTTGCAGTATGTAATCATGGGAAAGAAGTGAAGCAAGAACCTGAGGCTTACAACTCCTTGTCAGTTTTTCTCCTCTTACCTGACTCATGTGAGAGTAGACAATGGGAGCATCTGAGTTCTTTGTATTTGATTTAGCAATCAATGATCTGTATTGTGGATAATATCCCCCATGGAGTATAAAACTGAGATAAGGAAATAAATAACATAGACATCCAGTCCCAGCTTTACAGCTGACTATTTGGGAGGCCTTAATCAAGTGCCTTAAATTCTGTGAGCCTCAATTTTCTTATCTGTAAAATGGGGATACCATTACTATCGACACTAGTAGTTTCTAAGAGCTGCCCCAAGGGGCCACTGTGAGGATTCAGTGAGGAAACCTGTGAAGCACATGGTGTTGTTCCAAGCAATCAAGCATTCAGGGAATATTAGCTGCTGTTAATGTGATTATAAAATTAAATTTGACTGCATAATTCTTCTCCAGGTTTGACCTGAGTTCTCCAGGGTTCTTCTGCAAACTGCTCTCTAAGCTCTTGTGGAGTCATACCTGGCTACACTTCCTTTTAGGCAGAAAGGAGTAATTTTCCTCTACTGGCTGTCAATTTATATATTTTTTAACATAGCATGTTGTCTGATTAACATTAATCAAATTACTTGTAGCTCTCTGTAAGGTTATATTACATGAAAAAAAATGTATTAGTAATTTTGAAAGCCTGATATGAGCCTAATATTGAAATAGGAATAAACCCTATTTCCTATGAAGGAATAATGTATGTTTTTGATACAGTTTTGTGTTGTTATGTCAAAATGATACATGAATATTCTCATGGTAGCTTGAAGTACATTTATAATTATTTCAAACCATATAGTACTTCTATTTTGGCTTTTTTTCTTTGATATGAAAATGTACCAGCCGGTCTACATATTATGCACCCACATCCCCCTCAAGAACCATTGGCAGATAAGAAGAACAACAGCAGAAGATTACGAGTACAAAGCACCGGCAGGGACAGGACAGAGACGCCCGGCGGTATGGCGCCA